GACAGGCGTGCGCCACTGCGCCTGGTGCCTAGTGAGCTCTGATTTGGTGCCAGGCACTGTGAGCGTGTCCTTGCCACATGCTGGTCCTCTTGGATTTCCTGTGACCGCCTCTGGGCTTCTGTCTGGAAGGCAGCCGAGGTACTTGGAAACGACCTTATCCTCTGGGTTTGTTAGCAGGATCAGAACAGCCTTGTTCCTGGGCTCCTACACACACACACACACACACACACACACACACCCTGCAGCAAGAGGTTCTCTCTGGGGCTGCACAGACACTGCTGCAGTTGTCCCCTAGTGTCTGAGGCTGATCCCAAGGCCCCTGGGATCCCAGCGCCCAGAGCGCTCAGGTGCCTTCTATGAAATGCTGTGACCTTTCCGTGAACCAACCCACATCCTCCGAGGATGAGGTCACCTCTAGATGTCGAGTACCGTGTCAGCCTTCTGTCACTAGAGCAAATACTGAGGTCATCAGCTTCTAAAGGGAAAAGGTTTACCTTGGCTCCCAGTTGGGAGGGTTCAGTCCAGGATTGATGAACCCCTGCCTTTGGGCCTTGGTGACACGGGTCGTTTGGGCAGGAGCCGAGCTGCTTACCTCACCGTGCCCAGAGGGCCAAGGGGAGAGAGGGGGCGGCCACAACTCCAGGGACCCGGCCACCTCTCACCAGGCCCCGCCTCTCAGAGGTTCTGCCAGCTCCAATGGCATCACCCTGTTTTTTCCCTTGGTGCCAGGGATTTGAACCAAGGGGTGCTTCACCACTGAGCCGCATCCCCAGCCCGTTTTTGTGTTTTATTTAGAGACAGGGTCTCACTGAGTCGCTGCAGGCCTCGATGAGTTGCTGAGGCTGGACTCACAATCCTCCTGCCTCAGCCTCCCGAGCCGCTGGGAGGACAGGTGTGTGCCACAGTACCCAGCTGGCACCAGGGTTTAATACCTGGGTCCCTGGGGACAATCATCCAAACCACAGCCAATACCTAATCCAGCGGCGTGCTCTGTAACAGGTGCTCCACTATACTGTCTCGGGAGGCCTGACGAGAAGAACGTAAGTTTATGTATTTTGTCTGTTTTTTTTTTTCTTTTCTTTTTTTTTTTTTTTTTTTGGTGCTGGGGATTGAACCCAGGGCCTTGTGTATGCAAGGCAAGCACTCTACCTTCTGAGCTATATACACAGCCCTTTTAGATATTCCAGACAAGAGGGTTCATCTGATTGCTGAACCGTAGCCAGAGTGGCTTTCATTTTTGTTTTTTGTTTTTTTTTTTTGATTTGCTGGGGATGGAATCCAGGCCCTCACGCAGGCCAAGCACCTGCTGTACCACTGAGTCACGCCCCAGTCCCCAGGTTTTCTTAAAGGAAGCCCACTGGTGTGTTAAAACCCTGAGCTAGCTTGGATCTAGGTACTTGCCCTTCGTTTCTGTTATTTTTTTTCTCTCTGTGCAGTGGGCACTACTGTTAACCACATTTACAAATGAGAGCACTGAGGCACAGAGAGGGCGAGCAACTTGTCTAGCAACACCCAGCCAATCAGTGGGGGAAGGAAGGAACAAAGTTGATCATCTACTCTAGAGAGGCCATTCTCCTTATTGCTACCCTCTGCCAACCTTGCGGTTAAGAACTGTTTCTTCTTCCTCTTCTTAAATTGAGGTGAGATTCACGTAACATAAAATTAGTCATCATTTTGATGGTTGGGGTTGAATCTTAGGATCAGAGCATGTGTCTAGCCTAGCATGTCCATGACCCTGGGCTCAATCCCCAGTACTGCAAAAAAACAAGTAGATAGCATACAATGCATCGGCACTTGGCACATTCATCCAATAGCATAACCATCACCTTATCTTTTCCAGAACATTCCATTACCCCATCCCAAATAGCCATCACTTGCTACTCCCACCCCCAGCCCTTGGCAGCCACTGCTCTGCCTTCTGTCTATGGATGTGTCTGTTCTGTCCATTTCTATGAGTGGAACTGGACGTGCTGTTTCCTGTGCTGACTGGCTTCTTTACTCAGGATGGTCTTGGAGGTTCATCCAGCTCTATTCCTATTCATGGCTGCATAATGTTCCACCAGGCGAACAGGCCGCATTTCATTTATCCTCCCTCTGTTGTCGGGCGTTTGGGTTGTTTCTACCATTTGATGACTGTGAATGGTCAGGAGCTCACTTTAAATGTGGCAAAGGATAAATTTCATTTATCCTCCCTCTGTTGTCGGGCGTTTGGGTTGTTTCTACCATTTGATGACTGTGAATGGTCAGGAGCTCACTTTAAATGTGGCAAAAGGAGAGTGAGGTCGCAGCCAGCCCCTACTTACAGTTGAGGCAGGTAAGACTCCTGCAGGAGGTTTGGGGACATGCCCAGGGCCACACAGTCCTGTTGCCATCAGTCCAAACTTGAGCCACGAGGTTCCTCAACCACATAGCAAGCACTTGCTGCGTGAGGGAGCCTTCCCGTGGGACAGGACGGGGAGAGTGGCAAGGGGCCACTCTCCACTCAGGGCTTCCCGGAGGCAGGAAGCTGGGGCGGGGCATGCAGCAGTGTCACAGGTGGGGGGAGAAGCAGAGCCTGCAGATGGAGGCCCTGGCCAGGAGGGACTTGTGGCTGTAGGGGTGCAGGAGGCAGCGGGCGGGGGGAGAGCAGGGCGGGGAGATGACAGGAGCGCCCCCTGCAGGCACCAGGGCCACCGCGGGAGAGTTGCAATTTAATTTGGGACAAGGCTGGAGCTGGGGAGGAATGTGATGTAATCCAGTTCTTCATCATCACCATCATCACCATGTTGTGCGGTGGGTGCTGGGGTGGCCCCGGCTCCCCGAGTGCGCAGCCTGCGTTCTGTCGCTCCCCCATCCTTGAGCGATTCTAGATCCCCGGAGCAGGACCGGGCTCACGGGTTGGGGTTGTTGGTGGCCATGGTGGGGTCTAGGTCTCCAAATCCCTTTGCCACAGAAAACTTGGGTGCATCTGAGAAACCCCGGAGAAGGGTCTCTGTGTGGCCGGCGGCCTCGCCCCCTGTGTGGCAGTGCAGCTGGTGACTTCTGATGATAAGAAGGGTCCTACGGCAGGACGCTGGACAGCAGCTTGGACGCGCCGCTGGCGGGAGAGCTGTGCACACAGGGTGGACGCGCCGTGGTTGGGACATGGTGGCAGTGTGTCCCCGGGTTCACGGGTCGGAGGCTTGGTCCTGGGTGTGGCCTGTGGAGGGCAGGGGCGGGGTTTAGCAGGCACAGGGCCCTGGCTTCCACCCCAGCACCAAAAAAAGAGAGATGGTGGACCTCCAGGAGGAGGGGCCCAGTGGGGAGGGTGGGCGGCCGGGTTGCTCCCTGCACAAGGAGCCCAGGCAGTTTCAGGGACCCTGGCTGGTCCTCCAGAGAAGGCTGTGAGAGAAGGGTGAGCCGAACCAGGCCAGTGGCTCAGGCCTGTCATCCCTGCTACTTGGGAGGCCGAGGCAGGAGGATCTCAAGTCCAAGTCCAGCCTGGGCAACTAGTGAGCTCTGGTCTCAAATAATATAAGGGCCGGGGATGGACCTTGGTGGAAGAGCACCCCTGGGTTTGAGCCTGACCCCTAACTGCCGTCTGGTGTCCTGCTTTGCCGTGTGACCTCGCACCTGCTTCTACCCTTGAGATCCTCACCAGAGCTCAGCCAAAGCCTGAGCCAGGCCCTCAAGCTTCAGAACAATGAGCTAAATAAACCCCCTTTCTTTATAAAGTAACCCAGCCTCAGGCATTTTGTTATAGTAACAGAAAATGGACTAATACAGATTTTCTCTGGGCTAATGATCCCCTGTCATGATGCTGGGTGGCGGCAGGCCTGGATCCCAGCCAGCCCTGTATCACGGGAATCAAGCCACACTACAGTGCACAGTGTGGCTAAGCTGGTGCACAGCAGGTGAGGCAGGCCCCATGCGGCTATCAGGATGTCACCCCACTGCAAGCAGCTGTGATGGGAGCAGGCACGGGAATCGGGGTTTGATGGTGTAGAAAGCAGTGGAGGTAGGGAGGCCCAAGGCTGGAGCTGCAGGCACCACACCTGCTCCGTCTCTCGATCCTCAAACTCTTTTGGGAGAGTGGGTACCAGGGATTAAACTCAAGGGCACTCAACCACTGAGCCACCTCCCCAGGCCTATTTTGTATTTTATCTAGAAACAGGGTCTTACTGAGTTGCTTAGTGCCTCGCTAAGTTGCTGAGGCTGGCTTTGAACTCGTCTCAGCCTCTGGGATTACAGGCGTGCACCACCACTCGCGTTCTAAGGCAGAGTCTTGCTAAATTACTTAGTGTCTAAGTTTCTGTGCCTGACCTTGAACTTCAGATCCTTCTGCCTCAACCTCCCCAGGCCCTGGGATCACACACTGTACCTGGCGATCTCTCTGACCTTTTTCATCTCAAGCCTGAGATGACTGGAAGCTCCCTCAAGAGTGGAGTCCATCTGCAAACCTATACTGAGAACTTGCTCCCTACCACGCACCAAGTCTAAAATAATTTTTATCCGGAACAACAAAGGGGGACTGGGGATGTAGCTCAGGGGTGGAGCATTTCCCTAGCATATGTAAAGCCCTGGGTTCCATCCCCTGAACCAAAACAGCAACAACAACAACAAAACCATATTAGTAATGGCAACTAACATTATTTGAACACTTAAAATGTGCCTGGCATTGCTTGGAACTGTGTCAATTGGTCCGTTTAATTCTTAACAACTCCCTTGTAAGGGAAGGACTTTATTACCCCCGTTTTACAGATGTGGAAACTGAGGCTCAGAGAAGTTAAGCATCTTGCCTAAGGTCACACAGGTGAGGTTCAAACCCAGGAGCCTGGCTCTAACAACACTCATGCCACCTTCCTTTGAGACGTGATGAGAGAGGGGAGACGCAGCCATGGGACACAGAATACGTCTCCGCCTGTTCCACGGAGCGGTCAGGGCCGTTGCCTGTGTCCTGAGGACAAGCAAGCCTGTCCCCAGGAGCGCATTCTCCTTGCGGCCCTCACCGGTATCACGAGCCTCCCTCTGTTCTCCTCCAGGAGCTGGAGAAGCTGGGTCTTGGTGACAGCGTGGACCTGCACGTGTACGAGATTCCGGTTGAGTACAAAACGGTGCAGAGGCTCATCCCCGCCCTGTGGGAGAAGCACAGTCCTCAGGTGAGGAGGGCGGGGCTTCCCGGGGCTCCACCACACCCAGGGACGCTGTGTGGCCCGCCTCCTTCCATCAGGGCAGTGCCAGAGCCCCCGCCTCAAAAGGGACCTGCTTTTCTGGTCTCTGTGAGGGAGGAGCGCTGTCTTTGGGACCTCACAGCCTGGTTCTGTCCCTCAGTGAGGACTTGGGTTTGGTTACAAGTGACTTTCAGGAGCTGCAGGGTCAGGTCGTGCAGCTCAGTGGCAGGGCAGGTGTCCGCGTGCACAGCCCTGGTTCACCCCCAGGACCGCAAAAACAGAAGCCGGGCAGGTGCGACCCGGAGGCTGAGGCAGGAGGATCACAAGTTCAGGAGGCTGAGGCAGGAGGATCACAAGTTCAAGGTCAGCCTCGGCAACTTACAAAACCCTATTTTAAAATAAAAAATAAAGACGGTGAGGCCGTGGCTGGGGGTTAAGCACCCCAGGGTTCAATGTCCAGCACCAAAAAAACCATAAATGACAGAGTGCCCAAGCCCCTCTAGAAGTGATTTGAACAGAAAAGCGTGTGGGCTTCAGGGGAGGTTTGATCCGTGTCCCCCCAGCGCTGTCCGCATCCTCCGGCCCTCAGCTGCGCTCTGCTCTGCTCTGGGAAGCGCCTCTGGGGGTACAGGCGGCAGCAGCTCGGCGACCTCGCATTTTAGCCCCTGGACAGGAAGAGAACCTTCCCCCCAGTATTTCCCCAAGGTCCACGGTTGATCCTGATTGGCTAGCTGGGGTCACGTGCTGGCCCTTGAGCCAATCACTGTGGTGGAAGAGGAGAGGCCTACTCTGATTTGCCAAGCCTGGGTCACGTGTCCCAGACCGCCTGGGGCGGAAAAGGAAGTCCAGGGGGCAGCAGTGCTGGCCTCCCATCACGGGTCCTGCCGCCCAGCCAAGATGGTGGGCGGAGCCTAGCTGGGAAGTGGGGTCCTAGGCCTCCTGCCTTCCCGCGTCCCTCCTTTAGGGGCTCCAGAGTGGGCCAGGGGGTCTTCCTTTTTAATTTGATTTATTATTATTATTATTATTATTATTATTTATTTATTTTTATTGCCAATGTTGGAATGGAACCCAGGCATCCCAAAATCTAGGCCAGTGCTCTACCACTGAGCCACGCCCCCAGCCCTTTTTTATTTTTTGAGTCAGGGGAAGTTGTGGAGGCTGGCCTTGAACTTGGCAATCCTCCTGCCTCAGCCTCCGAGTCTCTGGGATTGCAGATGAGCGCCACTGTACCTGGCAGGCATCTCCTTTTCCAAGGACGCCTCTTCACTGGTCTCAGGTGGAGTTTTCTCTGTCTTGGAGAGGGGGTCCTGGAAGCTTGTGGACCAGGGGTTCCATAGATGCTTTCCCCTCCTGTGACATTTAGGTAATCTTGTCTTCGTCCAGTTTAACAAATAAAAGCAAATTACCGTCACATGTTCCTGTGTTGCTTAATGTGGGGATATATTTTGAGAGATGGGTCAGGTGATTTTGTCACTGTGTAAACATCCTGGAGTGCACTTCTGTATCCCAGGTGGCGTGGGTGGCCTTCCCACAGCCTTTTTTGATGTTTATTTTTTTGTGGTGCTGGGACTGGACCCTGGACCTCGTGTGTGCTAGGCAAGTGCCGAGTCCCTGAGCCACACCCCCAGCCTTTTTTTTTTTTTTTTTTTTTTTTTTTTTTGTTATTGGCAGACACAACATCTTTGTCTGTATGTGGTGCTGGAGGATCGAACCCGGGCCGCACGCATGCCAGACGAGCGCGCCACCGCTTGAGCCACATCCCCAGCCCCACACCCCCAGCCTTTAGGGGAAAAGTTACTGATGAGATATTTTACAGTCTTTTGTGCCGGTTTTCTGTACTTGGACTACATTTTCCACAAAGGACACAGTTCACTCTTGAGTGTACATATCCCGGGCCTAGAAGGCACTTGTGGCCATGGGTAGCTACGAGAAGAAACAGCAGGTTCTTCAGCCTAAACTGTATTTTATGAATTATTCATTTTGTTTTATTCTTTTCAGCCTAAATTTTAGTTTTTGTGGCACTGAGGATGGAACCTGCTGCACCTCTGAGCTACATCCCTGGCCCTGTTTCAGTTGATTTGAGACAGCATCTTGTTAAGTTGTCAAGGCTGGCCTCAAACTTGTGATCCTCTAGCCTTAGCCTCCTGAGTCTCTGGGATAACATCTGGCATTATTAGCCTCATGGCTGGGGAATTTTGGGTCATTTGTGGAGCTGTTCTGTTCCTACTGGGCATACTGGTTTCTGGGCTTTTTCTTGCTTTCATTTGCTTTGGGGTTTGGGGGTTTTGGGGGGAGGTGGCACCCAGATTTGAATCTTACTTTTCTAAACAATCCAAATTTATGTGTAAAATAAAGTTACTTATGAAGAGAAGTGACCATTTTCCTTTCATCTTGGATACCTTTCAGGCTAGATGCCTAGAAGCTATGCCTTTTGCACTTGGCAACAAGTCTTGAGGATTATTCCATTTAAAACTGCCTTGGGCATTTTAACAGCTGCGTAATGTTTCATTGTTTATTTATCCTCCACTCAGGAATGGCTAATTAGGTTGTTTGCAATATTTGTAAGGGCACACAAAGCAGCCGTAAGCACCCTTGAGTGTTCATTCCCTTGCATGTTTTGTTTGGTAACCTTTTCTGCGAGAGTGACTGCAGGGTCTATTCCAGCAGCAAGAAGTCAGAAACCGTGTACCCCAGGCAGAGCAGAGGCAGGGTTGCCGTTCTCTTTGGCCCAGGGTCACCCCCAGTCCCATGGCCAGGCTGTGTTAAGCTCTACCTATTTATCTGCAGCTGGTGGTGCATGTGGGGGTATCGGGCATGGCAACCACAGTCACACTGGAGAAGTGTGGACACAACAAGGGCTACAAGGGACTGGACAACTGCCGCTTCTGTCCTGGCTCTCAGTGCTGCGTGGAGGACGGGCCTGAGAGCATCGACTCCATCATTGACATGGATGCGGTGTGCAAGAGGGTCACCACGCTGGGTCTGGATGTGACAGTGACCATCTCGCAGGATGCCGGCAGGTAGGGTGCTGTGGGCCCTGTGGTGGGTGTGAGGGGGTCTCCCTGGCTGGCTGAGGCTGGTACTGGCAAGCCCAGTCTGTCGGCTTTGGCCTTTTTGGATGGAGCACTCAACATACATGAAGCACAGAACTAGTTGCCACTGTTGGCCTCTGTGTTGGAGGGTCGACGCTGTGTGCGTCTGTGCTAACCGGTGTTTTTCCTGGTCATTCCCCGGCATCACAGGATAACGATGACCCCATAGTATCTCCGTTGTATCTGATATTCTAAGTCTTCTAGAGAGGACTGAAGCCCCCGGGAGGACGTGTATAGGTTTTGTGCAAATACTACTCACCATGTGGAGGGTCTTGAGAATCCCTGGGCAGTGTTATCCATGGGATTGGACCAGGTCCCCGTAACCTGGTCTAGGACTTCATCTGGCTTTGCTTTGTTTTCACGTGGGTGGGGCACATCACATGCATCTCCCTGGGAATCCCCTTCCCCAGTTTCCATTTGGGAGCAGCCAACATGCATCTCGGTGGGTTCTCTGCTCCCCGCACTCTGCTGCCTTCCTTGTGGACGACTTCGTAGTATTCCACTGGGCGGGGAGAACCAAAGTCCATCAAGCCCCCTCCGTTAGCAGACGTGGAGATTGCCGTCAGTTTTTCTGCCTTGTTACGTAACCGTGAAGGTCCTTGTTTTTTACTCTCCTGGACCCTCGTGCGGATGTTTCCCAAGAGGAGATTCTCGAACCTGGAAATGCCAGGTTGAAAAGTCTGCACGGTTAGGATTTCACTAGCCCGTGCTGTCGCCTTCCCCGGGGACAGGCAGCTGTGGTTCCCACCAGCACCGTCCCACCCTGCCCACTTCTCCACATGGACCCCAGCACTTGGAGTTAGCCCGGTTTTCCGTGCTTGCCCGTGGGGAAGGGGACAGTGGTCTCCCATTTGGCAGATCGCTGTGTGCCCGGGGTGTCTTCCCGCGGGTCGGATGCTTGGCCACCTGCATGTCGCCGGGCTGACCTGGTTTGTCCTTGCTCCCGTGTCCTGTGGGTCAGGTACCTGTGTGACTTCACCTACTACACCTCCCTGTACCAGAGCCACGGCCGCTCGGCCTTCGTCCACGTGCCCCCGCTGGGCAAGCCCTACAACGCCGACCAGCTGGGCAGGGCGCTGCGGGCCATCATCGAGGAGATGCTGGACCTGCTGGAGCAGTCAGAAGACAAACTCAGCTACTGCCACAAACACTGAGAGCCGCAGGCCTCCCAGGACCTCGCCCCGCTGGACCCAAGAGGGACATCGCCCTCAGGGGCCTGGCCAGGAAGACAAGCGGTCGTCCGGGTCACCCAGCTCCTCTCCCTCTGCAGAAGCTCCGGTGGACTTGAAGCAGAGGCTGGGACTTCTCCTGTTCCCCTGTGCACTGGGGGACACAGCCGCCCCAGCCAGGAGGTAACCAGTGGGCCCAGACGTCCAGAGACTCCTGGTCAGGTGGCCCATGCTCTGTGACCTCCTGCCGGCCGCCTGCTCCTCTGCCTCCCTCGTCTGTGGGTGGAGGAGAGCCAGCCCCCGGCTCCTGGCTGGTTTCTCTCAAATTTAAGTCTCATGAAGAGTCTCAGCCCAAAACTGTCCCCCAAAGCTTGGGTGGCCCCAGATGGGGCCGCCCTGGGACGGCTGGTTTTATTCTCTCTTTTTTTCTATTTTTGAGGACAGTCGTGGGAGCTGGGAGCCAAGAGCCACTGATGTCCCCTTTGCCAACCCTTGGCTCAGCTGAGGACAGACGGGCCTTTTCTTTTTCCCAGGGTGTGGCCTCTTTGGCCTCTGGCCCCCAAAACTGGACTTGACTCTTGTCTTTGTGTCGGGACAACAGTGGCCAGGCCACAGTGCAGCCACGGGGACCTGGTCCCTTGACACCAGAGCCGTGCGCCGTCCCTGGAGGCCTCCTGCACCCATGGGACAGCCGCTCTGGGCCGCTGGGGGTCCTTTGACACCTAAAGTAGCCGCCACCTCGCTGGGCATCTGGGCTTGGGGCCTGGAGCTGGCGTCCTGGAGTGTCCCCACGTGTCCCTGCAGGAACTGGCGGGCCCTGGTGGGCTTCATGTGAGTGGTCTCTGGGACGCCCCCAGGACTCCGGAGTCGCTCTACCTCGCTCCCTGCCCACTCTGAACTTGGCGGCCTCCCTTAGCAGGTGGCTACGCTCAGCCCGATCCTGACACCTGCAGGAGAGAGCGTCCTCCTGTAGCAGTGCCACCAAGGGAGGAAGACGCGCGTCTGGGGAACCATCGGCTTTTCTCTGGGGACGAGGTTTCCCTGTTGCCCTGGGAGGGTGCCCGCTGGACCCTGTACCTGGTTGAGTCCTGCTTGGGTCCAGGTGTTCTGCAGGTGTTCTGCAGCCCCAGGTGGCTGGCTGGGCTCTCTGACTCCCTTCCCCTTCCCTCCCGTTCCCAGGTCGGTGGGGCCTCGCGGACCTGCCACATGGTCGCATGGTCGCCTGGCCATCTGGGACCGGGCGGTGGTCCTCTGGGACCTGGCAGGTCTTTGCCACCATGTCCTGAGCCCTGGCTCTCCCTGGGAGGCCAGCGGCACGGTTGTGTGACCCGGCTCTGCTCTGGGCAGCGGGCTGGACTGTGGCTGGCAGGTTAAGGTGATTGGGACCCTGCCACCTCCATGCCAGCCCTTGCTCTGTTGGGCACTGTCCCCCAAGTCCCCCGCCTGAGCACAGGGTCTCCAGAGAGCCATGTACTCAGCGGCTTCTGTGACAGAAGGACGTGGGGCTCTCGGGACGTGGGGCCGAGGGATCTCATTCAGACCGACCCAGGCTCCGTCGGGCCATCTCTGTCCCCCAGAGGCCCCCGGGCAGGAGGGGCGGTCCTGGGCTATCTGGGCACCTGCCCAGACCTTTCCAGCTCTTGTCCCTGTCCCTCCCTGTGTTCCTGGTCCTGTGTGGCTCCGCCCCTCAGAGGTGTGACGTCCTGCCTTCCTCATGAGCTGCCCCTGCCATGCGCAACACGGGGCGGCTCTCACGTCATCAGATGCCATTAAACACGTCACTCACGTCCTGCCAGCTTTTATTTCCTCAGGGGGTGACGTTTTGTGACGTTTCTGTTGGGCGAACTCATGGCTCACTCCGTGGTCGGTCTGTCTGTGTTGGTCCCTGTGTGAGAAGGGAGGACCGAGTCTCCCTGTCCCCCCTCATCTTCAGACCCGGGGAGCTGGCAGACGGTCAGTCTGAGATGGGAAAGGTGATAACGGTGTTCATGGTGGAGAGTCAGGCTGGGGACGTGGCAGGCAGCTGGGGACATGGTGGGCAGCTGGGGGAGGAGGGAGGTGACGCTGGGTGGGTCTGTGGGAAGCAGCGGGGGAGCCCCTGGGGTGCTGAGGAGGGGACGGTGAGCAGGCATGGACCTGATGATGGCTCCTTTTTCACAGATGCCACAGCCTGTGACCTCTGTGTCTCCTGCGCCCTGGGGCCTGGGGAGGAGGTGGGTGGCTCGTGCAGGGCTGTAGCCTGAGAAGGAAGTGAGACTGGGGGGTGGGAGGGGAGAAGGGCGAGGGGAAGTCTGACCTGTGAACTGAGCTTGGGGTCACCTGCCCGGTCAAGGACTGGAGCACCCAAGGTCCCCGAGGCCACTCACGCAAGGCTGGCCAGGGGAAGGAGGGCTGAGTCATGAATTCCCAGTCAGTGCCAGATTTTTTAAGAAAATGTCATGTTGTGCCAGGCACGGGGTTGGCACGCACTTGTGATTCCAGTAACTCAGGAGGCTGAGGCAGGAGGATCGCAAGTTCAAGGCTGATCTCAGCAGCTTAGTGAGGCCCTTAGCGACTTGGCAAGACCCTGTCTCAAAAAGGGCTGGGGATGTGGCTCAGTGGTTAAGGCCACCGGGTTCAATCTCCAGGACCAAAAAAAAAAAAAAAGAAAGAAAATAAAGGGAAAATGTCACATTGCAATAGTTTCATCGAAGGGAAATCCCCTGCTCTATTCTTTGCTGGCGTGGAAACATCTAGAACAGCCAGGGTCTGCTCCGAGGCAGGGAGGCAGTTTGTCCTAGGAGCCTCCTGGGGAGCAGGGCCACCTGGTGTGTGGCTCTGGGGCTGGAGGGGCTGCAGGAGATCCAGCCCACCCCCGCCTCCCGGGGCTGCCTGTCTAGACTGTTGACCTTTGACCTCCCCGCCCCCTCACAGCGTCTGCACCCAGAAGTCGGGGACAAAGCTCCTTTCTTCTCTGTGGCCTCAGCCTCTGCCCCAGACTGCAGGGCAGCCTCGGAGGCTGCAGCCGGCCTCGGGCACCAATGGCCTCACAGACAGACGTGGGCGCCCGGAGTGGCCGGGGACAGTGAAAGGGCTTTGTCTCCTTCTCCAGGTGCAAATCCTCACGGGGCCGGGCTGGGGGCGAGGGGGGGAGTGTGTTTGCCGTGGGGAAGTTGGGGACCCCCAAGACCCTGGGCACAGGCTCCTGGGGGCAGGCCTGGCCGACGTCCCTGTCTGCAGGGCTCAGGCCTGGGGGTGGGGGGTGCTGAACGCCCTCACCCAGGCGTCCCCATCCCGGTGGCCTGTGTCTGGGCTGGTTGTCACACAGTCTGGGCCCTCTGAGGACCTTGGAGGCGCAGCCCAGCCCCCTCCTGTCCTCTCCCCCTCCCTCCCCCTCCCCCACTTCCCCTGACCTTTCTCCTGTTGCCCAGCGACACACAGAAGTGCCTGCCCTGCTCCCGTGCTCCCGGGGCACAGAGAAGGGGACAGTCCTGGTGCTGGCAGTGGCCACGGCCCCCTCCACCTGGACCCAGGTTGGCCCGCGCCAGGGTTTTGTCTTGAAGTCCCCCGGCTCTGGGTTCCTCACGGCCTGTGGCGTCCCCGTCCTGGCCCACGAGGAGAGGCCACAGCTGGGCCTTAGGAAGGGGCCCCCTTTCTGCCTGGCTTGTTCTGGGGCCCGCCCAAATCTCAGGTTTTCATTTTGTTCTCGATTCCTAGGAAATAGTTGTTCTTGCTGAAAGTGACTGTTTTCTGTCCCCTGGGGAGGCCCCGCCCCTCCGTCCCCAGTGTGGCTTCCCCCCACCTGAGGGCCTGCCAGTGCCTTGTCTGAGACCCCGTTCCGTGTCCGGGGTCCCTGGGAGCAGAGGAGGGTCTGCTGGGCTCTGGGAGACCCCACCCTTGACACCCCAGAAGCAAATAAAATAGTTGAAATGTGTCATTTTCTGTGTGTCCTTGTGTGAGGCTGGCATTGGTGGCGGTCATCGCAGCCTGGGGCGTCAGTGGGCAGAGGGGACGCCTCTCACTAGGTTTTCCATCCCGGGTGGGGGACGTGGTACTCGGCTCGTGGCAGCTGTGAAGAGGGTGCTGAATGAATGAGAAGAGGGATTTTGTGGTGTTTTTGCTACTGAGGACTGAACCCAGGGGTGCTTTGTCACCAAGCCACATCCCCAGCCCCTCTCATTTTTTATCTTGAGACAGGATCTCGCTAAGTTGCTGAGGCTGGCCTCAAACTTGAGATCCTCCTGCCTCAGCCTCCTGAGTAGCTGTCACTACTGTACCCCAGAAGAGAGGACTTCTTATTGCCTGTTCTCTGTCCTCAAATCCAGGTGACAGGCTGGGGTTGTGGCTCAGCGGTAGAGCGCTTGCCTCGAATGTGCAAGACCCTGGGTTCGATCCTCAGCACCACATAAAAATAAATGAATAAAGGTATTGTGTCCTTGGGGTCAGGGGTGTCTCAGCGGTAAAGCACTCACCTAGCATGCGTGAGGCCCCGGGTTTGATGCCCAGTATGGCAAAAACAAATAAAAACCAGTGGCCTTTGTTTTAATGCATAGAGTGGTTGAGGAACTTGCTCATGGTCACACAGCAAGGGGGAGCAGGTGCTAGAATTAGAACCATGATCTTTGTCAACCTGTACATGTATAACCCCCAACAGTGGGTGGCATGGCCCCTTATACAGACAAGGAAACTCGGGCCCCACCTGTGGAAGCCCCCCCCCCCCCCGTCTTCATGCCACAGCTGTGGAGAAGAGGGGGCTGGGGCATGAGCCAGACCAGACTCTCCAGAGCTGATCAGTTTTCGGAACACAACAGGATCTTTCCTCGATCATGTCTGACCTTGTCCTGGATGAAGACCCCCCCACCCCCCGGCTCCATGGATGTCTCAAGAATCACCCTGAGGTGGGGCTTTAGTAGTCAGGAAAGCATTTGGGGGGACATGAGGCCCATGGGAGAGGGAAGCCTTGGAGCCACTGAGAACCCAGAGTCTTTTTTGTTTGCTTATTTTTTGAGATGGGGTCTTGCTATGTTGCCCAGACCGGCCTTGAACTCCTGGGCTCAAGTGAGCCTCCTGCCTCAGCCTCCCAAGTAGTTGGGACTGTAGGTGGTGCCACCCCTGAGCTGGCCTGGGCCACACCTTGGAAAGCTGTCTCCACCGTCCAGGAGTACCATGCTGAGAACCAAGCCTTTAATACAGGGCTCTTTGGGGACCTTGAAGACCCAAAC